CCTCCCCCGGGCCCTGCTCCATCACCTCCACCTCCCCCTCCCCCTCCCCCGGGCCCTGCGCCATCACCTCTGTCATCACCGTCACCTCTGTCATCGCCTCTGTCGTCAGCGTCACCTCTATCATCACCCGTGGATGCATGTGTTCCCGACGCAAAGAAATCGTCGTCGTCGCTGGATGTGCTGTCGAACAAGAAGTCACCCTCGTCCCAACGCATGCGGGCCCTGCGAATGCCACCATCCGTCCGCTGTCGCCGAGTCCGAGGAGCGGAACCCGCATCGCCACGTGTACGTCCTCCGACACCTGCTCGTCCACGGCCGCCACGTCCCCGACCACCAGCCCTGCGTCGCCTCCTGTCCGACTCCGCCACCCAACGCTCGGTTCCCATGCGGGAAATGGCGCGCATCCTCTCTCTGGCGAGGCTCAACTCCTCCTCGGTCACCTTCGCCAGAACACCGGTGCCTCTGACGAGTTGTTGGTCCACGACTGCCTCGTTCTCCACGGCCTGCCAATAATGCACCGATTTTCCGAAGACGCCGGGCCTCTCTCCAACACCATCGTCGCACAACGAAAGTCGATCGAGTAGCCTGAGGTTCCAGTGGCACCGCACAAGCTTCTCAGCCCGGGGAACCTGCAACCTGTTGCGAGACTTTGAATGAATGAAGCTCCAACGAGACCACGCTCTCTCGCACGGTGAGGCGGTCGCCCATATACGAAGGATCCTGCCTGCAAACACGGTCGTGTGAGGGAACTTCGCCTTCTTTGAGGACCAAAAACTGGCAGGGTGATCAAAGATATCCGCAGCTCGCCGCATGGTGAGCTCATCGAAAGGGGGYTCCCTCGTGTGGAGCTTGGCAACCGCTCGTTGGACCTCCCGGTGCTGCGGCGAATCCTCCGGGTAGCCGAACTGGACAAGGGCCTCGACCAAGGCCTGCTGCACCTCCGCATCGTCACAAAGCGTCGCGTCCCGGAACTCTGGATCTAGCAGCATGGCTGTCGTGTGGGCAGGGGTCTTGAACATGGTGCGCCACCTGTGGAACACCTCCACAATAGCGTCCTTCTGCTCCCGATCAATGTCACGACATGCGGATAAACAAGATGCAATTATTTCCTCGTAACGTCGCAGAATCTTGCTGATCTGGCGTGTGTCGCTGTCCACCAACTTCAGCATGCCCATGATGGGCTCTAGCATCTTGCACAGAGCTCTCAAATGTTCCCACCATGGAAGGAAGCCGATACATGCAGTGACCTCCGCTGCATCCTTGCAGATCTTGCTGGTCGACCAAACAGTCTCGTGCCAGCGATCGTCGGCCACAACATCTGTCAACGCGGCCCGCAGTGCCACCAGCCTCTCCATCATGATGACGTTCGTGCCGAAACGCGTCTCCGCCGGTAGCAGAAGAGTCTTCGTCGAGTGCGCCTCAAGAACCTCTCTTGCATGTCCATGGCGCTTGAAGAACCTTGTAACCAGCCTCGCTTGAGAAATGCGGGAAGCCACCCAATCAATCCCGCCGA